TAAAATGATGACTGCACTTCGTGAACATAATTTATTGTTTGATACTCAACTTATTTCTAGTAAGACAGAACAGGTCAAATACTTAATTTATGAAAATGAACTCACTATTGATTCTCAGAAAATCCTGATAGATATAGTGATGCAATTTGTACAGGCCTGTTATAAGTTTCCATCAAATCAATGTTATTCTCATTTGTATTTTGTGACAACCCCCCCCCCCCTCCCTCCCAACCTCTCACATTACCAATAAACCATCTATGATTACTGTAATTAATCCTCTATTGTAATTTAAACTACCTAGAATGCCTATGGTGATTGGTATTAGATATTTTGTGTATTTTTTGATTATGAAGGAAATAAATAATATGCTAAAAAAATGGAACCTTGACCAGCGCATTTGACTACTCCATAAAAAGCTTTATATTAGTCAAACACCGATGGGACCTTGACCAGCGCATTTGACTACTCCCTCAAAGCTATACGTATGTTAGTCGTACTCAAATGGAACGTTGACCCACGGACCAGCACATTTGACCATTCCATGAAATCTATATGTTAGTCATACACAAATGCAATGGAACCCTGACCAGCGCATTTGACTAGCTACTCCATAAAAGCTATATGTTAGTCATACACCCATGGAACACTGACCAGCGCACTTGACTGCTCCATAAAAGCTATTTTGTCAGCCATTCACCAATGGAACCTTGACCAGCGCATTTGACTACTCTATGAAAATTAATTGTTATTAGTCATACACCAATGGGACCCTGACCAGCGCATTTGACGACTCCATTAAACATATATGTTAGTCATATACCAATGGAACCTTGACCAGCGCATTTGACTTCTCCATAAAAGTTAGATGTTAGTCATACACCAATGGGACATTGACCAACGCCTTTGACTACTCCATTAAACATATATGTTAGCCATATATCAATAGGACCTTGACCAGCGCATTTGACTACTCCATAAAAATTATGTTTTAGTCATACACAAATGGGACATTGACCAACGCCTTTGACTACTCCATTAAACATATATGTTAGCCATATATCAATAGGACCTTGACCAGCGCATTTGACTACTCCATAAAAATTATGTTTTAGTCATACACAAATGGGACATTGACCAACGCCTTTGACTACTCCATTAAACATATATGTTAGCCATATATCAATAGGACCTTGACCAGCGCATTTGACTACTCCATAAAAATTATGTTTTAGTCATACACAAATGGGACATTGACCAACGCCTTTGACTACTCCAATAAACATATATGTTAGTCATACACCAATGGAACCTTAACCAGCGCATTTGACTTCTCTATTAAACCTATACGTTAGTCATATACCAATTGGACCTTGACTGGCACATTTGACTAATCTATCAAAGTTAAATATTAGTCATACACCAATGGGACCTTGACCATCACACTTGTCTTCTCCGTAAAATGCCCATGGTAAAAGCAATGTTTCAGTCTATCACCAATGGAATGTTGACCAGCGCCTTTAACTGACTGCTACGTGAAAGCTTCATAGCCATACACTATTAGGACCTTGACCAGCGAATTAGACTACTCCATGAAAGCTACATCATGTAAGTCATACACCAATGGAACGTTGACGAGCGCCTTTAACTACTCCTTGGAAGTTACCTGTTCGTCATGCAGCATTGGAACGTTGACGAGCGCCTTTGTTAATATTCAGCATTTTTCCACTTTGAGGCTTATCAAAGTACACCACGAGGCTAATGACTCAAAATCAGCAATTGCATTTTGTTTTAAAAGGAGATTACACACGTACAATATATAACAAAGTTGCTTATGCCTTTTAAATATGAAGAAATATCATACATAAACAAGCATGTATATATGCCGAAATGTTCAATTATGGTCGATTGTATAATATAAATGAAACACCAAATGGACATGCTCACTAGTAATCGATGTTCAACAGCGGAGAAACAAATCTTCATATTAACAAGCCAGTGGAGCGGCCAGTACAAATAACATTCTACTTTACAACTAGCAGACTTAACATGTCACAAAGCAATAGATCACATCTGGATATTAGATATAACTAGGTAGAACCCACCGTATGCAATTCAAAGGTGATCTCATAAAGGAAATGATCATATACTATTTTGCGCACCGAAAACCCCTCTTTCCTCTGACACGTCGCAAAAAGGTCGCGTACGTGTGTTTTTAGGGTTTCGCATAAATGTAACTTTCATTCTTTGTAATAAGATAATATTCAAATTAAAGTAATATATCATTTTGAAACTGCTTTTTTGAAGTTTTGAAAAAGGTACACTCATTTCACAATTTCTGCTCGTTTTTACCCAAAAATAAAATATCCGCTGTGGACACGTTACATTTTGAATATTTTCATCTTTAAACGCTCATAACTCGAACAATATTTGACTATAATAATTTTTTTCGTCTTGATGAAAGTAGATGGAAGTTTTTTTTCAAACTCTAGTTTATTAATAAATAGTTGATTTTTTGCAAACTTAAAATAGGCCTATAGAACAAAAGAATTTTCATTTGTGCACATTTGCCCCCCAAAATCTCACATTCTGTCGTGTTAAAGAGCGAATATGTATAATATGGACTTCATACGAATCTTAAAATAGTCTTAAAAACTCTCATTACCTGCACAAATGTGTTAAAAGGGGTAAGGGAGCAGCAGGTCGGTGGCACATTCAAACGTATTTTTAAATGCTATCAACGTGACACGATCATAACAAATTTGAAAAAACTCGAGCTAGACAAATGTTGACAGAGTGTAATTCCATGGTTGACCTGGGATGTTGAAAGGAGTTGACACAGATCTTTGCATTGACATTCAAATGAAAACGGGATTCGGAAAACAATTTGTGTTAATTGTATTTAAAATGTTTTTATTCTGCCTTGATTAGTGTCACTGTCTATTCTTCCGTTCACCTGTATTAATCACGTCTAAGTTAATGGTCGCTTGTGTATGCGGTAAATTGTTATAGGGGCTAATAATACAGCGAGAGAAAAAAGTCAGACAGAAACTCATCAGTAGTAAGAATAACCGGAATCTGGGGACACATTCATGGTATGAAATATAGTTGTTCAAAGGCAACTCGTAAACCCAATCCCATTCTACTTTAAAGTGTCTTTTATTACAGACAACTTTGGGTTTTAAGACCGAGTCACATTGCAAACATTTTTTCCAGATACCAACGTTCCATGAAAGCCTGCAAAGACTACAATGTGTAATTTTGAATATATTTATACCATCGAACGAAGTTCGTGGGGGGGGCATAGAGAACGATTCCGCCCGAACGTTCGTACGTCTGCTCGGGCAGTAGAGAGGTTTCACAATACGTATTTCGCCGAACGTCTAAAATCCGTAACACTAATCAAGGCAGAATAAAAACATTTTAAATACAATTAACACAAATTGTTTTCCGAATCCCGTTTTCATTTGAATGTCAATGCAAAGATCTGTGTCAACTCCATATCCTAAATCCATTTTCTGCTTTTAAAACATAACAATATTGCAGTTTCATATGTTTACCTAAAATACTGTATATTGACACTAAAATGGCGGCCAATTTCAAACCGGTGGCCATTTCGAAAATCAAATTTCGAGCAGAACTCGTACTTATTCTGCATGTAAAACATAGCAATATTGCAGTTTCATATATTGTTCCTAAAATACTGTATATTGACACTAAAATAGCGGCCATTTTGAAACCGGTGACAATTTTGAAAGTCGACTTTCGAGCAGGGGCCATGCATTTGTACGATCCCTAATCCGATCCTGATAAATTTCGCCATGGTAATGATGCATTGTTGGATTAATCTTGGAATTTATCCTGACTTTGGTGAAATGGGCATCCTTTGGATAAATTTATCATAATCTTAATCCACCTTAGACGACAGGGGAGGAAATGATCAAAGCAAATGTGTAAAAACAACATTTTCCAACCGACCAATTATATGGGTACATTGACTACGAAAAAGATCGAGCACTGTTCGAAAATCTTTTAACGTTATTAGAAAAAATGTCTAGTAGTTAAATGTCTTCCTAAACGAATACACACAAAATCGAACATGAAACCCTTAATGTATTCCTTAGATTATTTTATTTATTTTTAAAACCTACATCAAATCTACAGCATTGTCCTTGTTTCAAATCGGTTAAATAGTTACACCGTACATCTAAAGTGTACGACGGTATATTTTGTCACTGTACGTTATCGATGGTTAGGCATGTTATAGCCAAAACGTATCCACAACTGCATGTAATTGAACTGTTGAATGATCTAGATATATGTGAAGGAGCGATTTTGGTATGTTATGTTTTATATGTGAATTAGAAGCATGTTACACTTTCTTATTACAATTTGACTTGTGAGTGGCCATTTTAAAAAATGGCAGCCATTGTATGTGTGTTATTTTACGTTGTTGCTCAACAGGAAAAGTAGTGGATCGATTTTATTGAACTTCTATGTGTGAATACTTCGAAGCATATTATTCCGTCTAGTGATCATTTGGCTAATAGGCAACCATTTTCGAAGGACAGCCAGGGCTGTTCGATGGAATTTGCAACGCTTTGCCGTTGCTGTTATCTAGTTTCATCCTACACAATGATGGGGCGCAATTTTGAGTTCTTGGAATGAGAAAAAAACACCGTGTCAAGTAAAACAATTGCGATGTGAAGTGATATATTGCATTAATTCCTGTGATCCCTCTCCCAATAAAATAACAAAACAAGGCGTGTGCGGTTGGTTAGATGGCAGAAGCTTGTCTGTTAGACTGGTCATCGCCGGGAGGGGTGTGAGTGTGGACACCGCGATTCCCGGGGTTACGATGGTCAGTCTAAGACGCTGCGTTTTTACAAAACCCATTTACGCAACTCGACAGCCTCCGCCACCGATTTATTGAATGCACCAGTGTTTTAGGCAGGCATATGAAGTTTGTAACATGCACCAGTGTTTCAGGCAGGCATGTGAAATTTGTAACATGCACCAGTGTTTCAGGCAGGCATGGTGAGTTTGTAACATGCACCAGTGTTTCAGGCAGGCATGTGAAATTTGTAACATGCACCAGTGTTTCAGGCAGGCATGGTAAGTTTGTAACATGCCCCGGTGTTTCTGGCAGGCATGTGAAGTTTGTAACATGCACGTCGAGTGTTTCAGGCAGGCATGCAAAGTTTTGTAACATGCACCAGTGTTTCACAGTTTCAGGCAGGCATGTGGAGACAACAAGAAGGCACCTTTTTGGGACAGGCCTATATTGACATGAATTCGTGCGCCCTTTCAAGGCAAGCATGAATTATATGATCTGAAATAAAAAAAAGAAATAAGGGGTGATGGTGGGTGGGGAAAAAGTTGTAATACAGTAAAAAACGTATGAATGATGGTATTGTAAGAATAATGAAAACGAGTATGTTGACTGTTGACTGACTGAATACAAGATGCTCGAATGTATAGTTACTGAAGTGTGTGGAGCGAGAAGAGATACGCAAGAGGCGTAACGTATTGGTCGAGTGATCAATTCCATTAACCTGGTTTTAATTCAAAAACACAATATTATTTTATCTGTGGCTAATTTGATGGTCACCTTTGTGTCCAATATCATTTCAAGTTTTTTTCTGGATCGATCGGAGAAATTCAAGTGTCCAAATTTATATTGACAACATAACATTAAGTAAGACTGCTAGCTAGATATTTACAAGGTTATTCTTAGTTTTTTCTATTCTATAATTTTTTTATTATGAGACTTTTTAAGAAATCTTAAAATTCGTTTGAAGGTCATAGTCTTTACTCTTTACAATTTCGCTTGCATCAAAAAATTCAATGGTGTATGCTGTATAATGTCTGTTACATTCCGAAATTAGTTTATACCAAATTATAATCTTAAGCTTAAATTGTCAACATAGTTGTAAGGATTTGATTTCGGAGTATGCTCAGTAATATTATTATTCGTTCTTGGGGATTGGCCAAATATGTCATGTGTATGAAATATAAATATATCATACTATTGGAAAAGTGTGTAGGTCACTTGCGGATCCAGGGGGAGGGGTGGGCCCAGACAGGAATTTTTGGCCAACTTATCAAAATGGGCCTAACATTTTCAAAACTTGAGCCCAATGTTTGGATTTAGGGGCTTAAAATATTTTAAGGTTTTATCGAGGCAGTTCCCAATTGAATGGGATTCTAGAGCTTGGCAATGACAATAGTTTATCCCAATTTATTGTTAAACGATGATGTGGATGCTGAACTAGCTTTTGTAGATAATGGGCTCACGTTATAAAGTTAAGTAGATTGGTGTAGCCACTTTGAGAAATAAACCTATTCCCAATTACACTCTGAAATTTCCCTAATCCCCAAAGTTTTCTTTGTCGACTTATTGCTGTTATTAATCTTGATTGATGTTTTTCTCCTACTATAACAAAGTGTGTCAATCTAATTACATAGGTAATCAAGCCTGGCTCTAGGGTACACCTAGGATAAAGAAATAAATGATTTTTCATCCGAGGGTACACCAATTCCTCGTTAGGTATACTTAACTCTAGTATGAGTGTGGGTATGTTATTTGTAGCAATGAGTTCAGACAATTGTGCCGCTGTAGAAAAATATTTAGAAAATACGAGCTAAGTGCCGAAAATGCTTTGTAAGACGTTTTGAAAAGAGTAATTTTTTGTTAACTCATCAGAGTTTACGTAAGACTTTTCCCCAAGCCGTCTTGGAATGCGTTGCTCAATATCAGTGGCCAGTATCAAGATGCGGTAAAAACCGTTACCTTCTCATCTAAGATGGCGGACGGAAAGTGTCGATTTCGATATTTTTGGTTTTCGTCGAGTTAAACTTATTTAATTTATAATTGACTTAATGCTTAGATATTTGAACTTGATAAGCCTTACATACAAGTATAATAGAAACTTTGGAGTATGACCATTTGTTCGTAAATCATACGTGGACGCCATAAGTCAACTATATGTTACACCGCTAGAAACCCGGGGTGAAGCTATTAATTAAGCTGTCACAGCTCAGCCAATCAGTGCTATTGTGGTCAGTTTAAATGTCCAGCATATACAGAACCACATGGTCTGCTACAACCTTATGTTATGTTTGTTTACTTTTAGACAGATAAGAGATGCTCATTGGCTGAAATTGAAAGTTTCAGTTATGCTAATGAGCATATTTACAAAAATGAATTGTCTAATTTCACAAAAACTAAACAACATTTTAGGAATTTGATTTGAAATTTATAGTCATTATAGATTCATGAACCACTGTAACAAAAATGAGCTTGTAGCGCATCATAATTATCTTGCTAAAGCAGAAAATTTGAAAAATTTCTCATTTTGTTTGAACTGGACATTTAAACTGCCATATTTGGCTGTTGTGGGCTGTTCCATCTGCCTTTTATACCCGATTTTGGTCTTTAAGGGAAGGTAACTGGAAGTGCATGATACGATAACTGACACGTCTGTTTTCAAGATGATGCGGTTACTGTATGAAGTTAATAATATAGATCTTTTTGTTTCAGACCAAAATGATGCACTTCACTATATAATGTGCAGTTTTTGTACATTACGGTTGGCTATGCAATAGACGTCCCAGATAGCAACGTTTCTTATCAGAAACGGGAGCTAAATGTCGGGACAGGTGTCGATGTCGATTAATTAATTGAAATTGGGAATCGAGATAATGTGAGCCCCACGTGTTATAAATCAGGTTTTAGAACAAATTGTCGTACCCCAAGGTTTCCATGATATATAATGCTTATCAAGTTCTTGATATCAAAGCATTACGTCAATTTTAGTAGTTTAATTCCACGAAAACCAAAAATATAGATATTACACGTCGAACGAAACCACGGTGCCCATGTCAAGCTGCGCGCCTACTTAGGCGCGCAGTTTGTTTCGATCACAAACTGCGTGCCTAAGAACATTGGATCATTTAAGTTGGAGTCTGTATTTTGAAACGTTATTTAAAGACATTTATCCTGCATTGTTTTCTTGTTCAATGCGTTCATTCTGTGGCGAATATACGAATCTTGCTAATACTAGCAAAAACTGTGTGCAAATGAATCTTAGTTTTAAAACATAAGCAGATTAATGGCATTCCGTCACTGATTTAATGGGAATTTATACGTAAATCGATCTAGCACTTTAAACATAAATGACAAATACTTTAGACTCGTTTTATATTTAATTCCTTACACATTTATCATGTTTAATTCAAAATATTTCGAAATAAAACAGATAATCAGGAGATTAAAAAAAATAAACCACAAACTGCGCGCCTATTTTAGCCAGAAATTACAATCTGTGCGCATACACTATTAAAACTACATATTATCATTGGAATTTCTACAGAGGTACGTGTAGGTGTTTTCGATGTAGCTTTGGAAATTTTGCTTTATCGTTAGATTTTATGAGATTTTCATATTAAAAGTCAAAATGTATAATAGAAGTGACAATTAAGTTGGGAACGAAAAAACATTTATTTTCAGATCACCATCTTGGTGGATGGACTCTCATAGTGTTTCAATTATTGGGTTCTACTATTAGACACATATGTGCCTTGTATGGCGCTTATGTTTTCTAATAATACAAAACAAGCTTGGATAGGCAAGCAGTTTTGAAATATTAGGCACGCTCTTTTTGGGAGTCGTGTCCTCCCCGTCTCACATTTTGAAATATGCGCGCAGTTTGTCAGAGTTTCAAACTGCGTGCCTAGTAGGCACGCTGCTTGACATGAGCATCGTGGAAACTGGGGACAATTAGCGTAACATTATGGCGTCAAAAACCAAGACAAAACAATGAGCAGCATAGGGCGCAAACAGCCTTACAACGTCAAAAACGACAAGCATCACATTTTTGTAAAGATTAGTCAACCTAAAAATAAAATACTTTATTCTTATCTAATCATGACAAAATTCACAGGGTAGCAAGATCTCGAAGACAATATTTCTAAAATGTTTTTGAATTTTGAAGAAACGGTCAAAAAGAAATCAAAAAGAAGAAGTCAAAAAGAAATCACCTTGGAGCGTTGGAAAAAATTGATATTTATGGAATTTGTGGTAAAAAATCGATGCGTCACATTTTTTCAAGTCTAGAAAACCATCTCTCATTTTAATATTATTTGCAAAATAAACAAACTGATTATTGTTTTGTAAATTTAGCCATGACAATATTGTGCAGTTTATTTCAAATCAGACTTAAATTAGAAGGTTAAATGAAGGTAAACTTATTGCTCGTCCTATTCGCCTTCAAAACCTTACACAATTTTGAAAATCTTAAAAGCGTTCATATACGATAATTTGAGATCGAGTCGTTAAGCAATTGTGACGTCATAAATGGACATGTTCCATTGAATAAATTGTGAAATTTTAGTGGGATTTTGATCATTATTTCAAAAGTTATTCCAATTTCAACGAGTCCTGTAAGCGTTTAGTGTTACGTCTTACAGCGTTTTTGACGATGTCGGGATATATTTAACTTTAAAAAAATGTTGGATCCCATCAACATTTTGAAGGAAAAATATTTTCACTGAAATGCGAATAAAAATTCTTCAAAATGATAAATAAAACACATTGTTAGCTTTTTAAATAAGGCAGAGATTAACGCTCAAAGCTGAGATATCGATTAGCCCGTGTTTCCCGAATTGTCCCCAGGTCCGTGCACGTCATTATAAGTTATTGAATCGTGTGATCCTCTGTATTGCTACTGAGATTGTCCCCTCTGTACCAATATTTTCTGTATTGCGACGGAGATGATCAACGGGGACAACCTCAGTAGCAATACAGATTAATGGTACAGCACAAGAACTGACCAATCAGAGGACTTCATTTTACAGATCATACGATAAATATATATCTTAGCTGAAAAGGTAACGGTCGTTACCACATCTTGATACTGACCAGTGAGTATGATTAAACATACAGACCTTGTGCTTCATAAGCATGGAAAAAGCAGGTGTCATTGACGTTTCACTGATAACAGAAACAGTTGGTCTCCAATGGTGGGGTATAGACGAGTAAGGAATTAATATTGTCACAGATATATTTTAGTTGTGCACAAGGATATCAGTAGTCTAGTTAAAAAAAATCAGTGATTCCATGTGTCATTACCAGAAAAAAAAATTATTCATAGATATTGAGCCCAAGGATAATCTAACTGAGTAATTTTACTGAACATCCTCGTGTAACTGCAAAGTACACGTCTATATCCTTTCACAATAATTGCTATTAATTGCAAGGTCTATCATATGAAAAAGAGATCATTATTTTGAATAATAAAAGTAGTAATCAGTTTATTGTGAGTTTATATAGAGTTTCTAAATAAACGGTTATGAGCGAGGTTTCAAATGATGATCCGATTATTGATATATTGGAGAAGAACCTATCTCATTTTATTTACTAAAGCAAAAATTCATTCAGATCC